TTCCCAGTTCCCAGTGTCATTATTGCTTAGTCTGTTTGTGAACAGTACGAACTGACAGTCAACATTAAAAACCCAGAATAGTCTTTTTCTGAAAGATCAGGCTACTCTGGATTGTAAACTCCATTTGTGAGCAATTAAGTGATCGGTGGTTGTCCCCTTGAGCAGGAGCACTGAGGACTTCAGTCAGCCATGGTCTCCACCATTCTCTGGTGTCTCCTGACACTGAGGCATCACGGTCCCTGCCATGAGCATTTCCACTGCCTGCTGAACCCTAGGAACATTTGGACTTGAATGGGTCTGCCTGATTTCTCAGGGCACTTGGGTGTGAATGACGGTGGGTCAGGAGAGAGTAAGGGAAAAAAGTACACCACTATCCAGTGTTATCAAGAAGCCTAAGGCTTAGGAGCAGCCAGTTTAGGAGTGCAATGCTAGAAGCCAGTGTCTCTGACTGACACATCACCACATACTTAAGAAACAGCATCAGTGTTCACATTCGGATCAGAAGTATCCTTTGAAAGCTTGGGTGTGCAAGGCTTGGTCCCCCACCTGAGGTCTATTGGCAAGGGTTAAGCTTTTAGGAGGTGGGGATCAGTGAATGAAGTGAGGTCATTGGGGGTACCCCTGAAGGATATTGGAATCCCAGCCTCTCCTCCCTCTCCCTCTCTCTGTCTGCTTCCTGGCCACCACGATGTGACCAGCTCTGTTCTAATTCACGCTCACCACCACAATGTGGTGCCTAGCTGCCGGTCTCCAAGTGACAGGGCAAAGCAACTGTGGACTGGAAGCACTGAAACTGCAAGTCAAAATGAAGCCATTCCTTCTTTCAATTTGATCATGTCAGGTATTTGTCACAGCAATGGGAAACGGAGTTAGTCCATGTTAAGTCCTACAAGTTTGGCTTCACTGTTCACCAGGTAACAAGGTGAGTTATGAAATGACTCAAGCACATGTCAACATTTTGTAGTGGATTACCCACGTGATGAAGTGGGTGGGCAAGAACACCCCAGAAGGGAATCTTTGTCTTGGCACGACTTCATTAAACAACAATGGTGTGCAGAGGTCGTGAAATTGTGATTGTAGGAGGACACGTAGGCCTCCTTCATATTTATTCTGTGCTGAACTGCAATAGTAGACCTGCCACGAAAAGATTTTTCTAGGGCCTGGAGAGATGGCTCAGTGGCTAAGAGCGCTGGCTGCTCTTGCAGAGGACAGGGTTCAGTTCCCAGCACCCACATGGCAGCTAACAATGGTCCGTAATTCCAGCTCCCAGGGATCCCGCGGCCTCTGTGGGCATTGGATGCATGGTGCATTTAACACGCACACAGGCAAAACACTCATACACATGAAATAAAAATAAATAAATACACAATTTTTTTTTTGAAAACTGAAAAGACTATTCTATGACTATTCCACAAGCAAGTGTGTGGAGGGGAGTTTGCTTTAAAGTTACTTTGTTACTTTTCAGGATTGTAAAGAATTTAAGGGGCAGGGCCTGGCCTAGGATTTGACCACTTTGCCTTTAACAGAAACAAAAGTATTATCTGCACAGTGGTCAGCAAACCCATCTTCTCAGATCCTTAGAGGGAAATCCTGGAAATCTCTTGCTCAAGGGAAGATTGGCCATTGTGCTGGATAGCTTTAGTGTCAACTTGACACACCTGGGTTGAGAGAGCCTCAACTGGGGAATTGCCTCTATTGGACTGGCCCGTGGCCATGTCTGAGGGGCATCTTCTTGATTGTTGAGTGATATGGGAGGGCTGGCTGGGCTCCCACAGTGGACTGCACTGTGGGTGGTGCCACCCCTGGGCAGGTGGGCCTGTGTTGCATAAGAAAGCAGGCTGAGCAGGGGCCAGGGGAGCAAGCCAGTAAGCAGCGTTACTCCATGGCCTGTGCTCCAGCTCCTGCTTCCAGGTTCTTGCCCTGAGTTCCCACCTTGGGCTCCCTGATGAACTGTGACCCAGGAGATGTAAGCTGAATAAACCCTTTCCTCCCCAAGTTGGTAGTGGTCAGAGTGTTTTGTCACAGCAATGAAGAAACAAACTAAAACAGCCATTTTGTTATAGTCAGACCTTCAACTGATTGGATGAGGCCCATCTACCTTAGGGCGGTCCTTCTGCTTCAATGGATCTCCCAGTTCATAGGCTAATTTCACCCAAAACCACCCAGAGCGGTTGACCTAACATCTGGGCAGCCCATGGCTCAATCAGTGACACATACAAATAACCACCCAAACAGGCCAGGCAGTATAGGAGGCAAGAACAGCAGCTCCCGGGAGATGATGGAATCTATGGAGAACACACCACAGATTCGCCTAACCCAGTGGGGAAAAGCCCTCCTGAAAACCTTTCTGCCCATGTCCAGCAGCTGCTCCAGGTGAACTTGCCAGGTTTTATTCAAGGTCACCACACAACTAGCAACAAAAAGCTGTGTGCCACCACACACCTAACCACATGCCTCCAAACAAAAATATAAACTCTGCTGGGTGTTGAAGGCTGGCAGGGCAACTGAAATTATCTACTCTTAGGGAGACTCTAAAATGAATCTTCCACATGTCCCAGCAATCCCACTCATAAGTATTTACCCAAGAAAAACGGAAACTTGTGTTGCTACAACAAACTGAGTGCTGAGAGCAGCTTTACATGTGACAATGAAATACAAGAACCAGCCCAAATGTCCACTGGATGGACAGATGACAGAATACCACTCAGCAGTGAAAAGGGCACAAAGTACATGCAAATCTCAGAAGTACTCCGCTGAATTAGAGAAGCTAGCTTCAGAGGTTGCACACTGTGATTGTATTCACATATTTTCAGAAAGACAAAACAGTACTGATGAAGACCAGCTTAGCAGTTTGCTAGGGCTTAGGAAGTAGAGGGTAGGGTGATTATAAAATAGTTCAAGGGACACTGGAGTTTCCAGAGGCACAGGAATATACACAAGATTCTTCTGTATCTTGTTCTAAGAAATAGGCACTCGATCTGCATTTGTTAAGTTTCATAGTTATACACCCTTCCTCAACAACACATTTACCACATGGCACACATTTTAAAACATGAATTGTATGGCATCCTTACGCCCAGGGTGAATGCACCTTACACAAAACATGAGAGGAAGGGGCAAGTCACAGGGGGACCAGAACACACAACATGGCAAGTGCAAAGGCCCAGTCAGGTCCCTTTCAAATATTTGGATATTATGAAAAGAGTTTAAGTGATGTTCCCAAGCTGCTGCCACTGCCCGGAAATTCTGAGAAAGGGCAGAATACTGGTTCTGAAAGCTGCTCTCTCCAGGCACTCAAGGACTCTATGGCACAGCACTTGTGGGGGGTAGTTGGGGAGGGTGTTTAAAAACAGACTGGGATCAGCCCTGCATGCCTGGCCTCTGATTGTCCCCCAGGTTCTCATCTCCCCTTCTGCCTGGGACTGGGGAAGCCACACGAGGCCACAGTGAGGGCTGGCCACAAAGGATGCAATCCTTTTCCTCTGCCATCACCTTAGCAGGTTTCCACTCGCTCTCCTTAAAGCCCTGCTTCCCTTACAGCTAGGCTTCCAGGAAGGGAGGGACAGCACTGTTCACAGTGGCTGCTTCTGGATGCATTCTGGGATTTCTGTATCAGTCTGTGAAGCCACAGACACTGTGACATATCTATAGAGCGCTATACAGCCACTGGACAACCAACAGAGCAGGAGGGGTCCAGCCCCAATTGTCACCAGTGCTGGGGTTGATTACTGAGGAAGGGGGAAGGAGAGGAGGAGGGAGGAGGAGGGAGGGAGGGAGGAAGGGAAAGGAAGACAAGGAGGAAAGAAGGGAGGGGTGGGGAGAATTTGTGGTTGTGACTGTAAATGAAAGCTGTGGAGACCACAGCCACCACACAAAGCCCCAGCTCCTGCTGTGTGGTACCTGGGGCCTGGCTGACTGCCCTGCAGACCTCCTTTAACTTCTCAGTTCTTAACAAATCATCAACAACTAGGGGCAATCGTGTGTACTTTTAATCCCAGCTACAGGGGAGACTGAGACAGGAGGATCACTTGAACCCAGTTTCAGAGCAACCCTGAAAGCATAGAAGACTCCATCTCAAAAATATGAAATGAAATGAAGATAACTGAGATGTGTACAGAGCAAAGGGGCTGCGGGCTAGTGAGGGGGCACATCCAAACTTGGCAAGTTCCAAGGGAATGGACGGGACCTATCACCACCAGGGATCACCCAGGACAGGCTGTCACTAGGTCTTCATTCAATCCATCCCTCTTCCCTCAGGTTAGCACCCAAAATGCCTAGAGACTCCTCAATGCACCTTAGATGGGTTCCTCCTCTCGCCTACCAAATGGGACTTGGTCACAGTGGGCTCCCTCACAGCACAGTCAGGCAAGAAACCAGAGAAAGAAACCAGAAGCAGTGAGAGCAATGCTCGTCAATCAGCTGCCCGTGGCAACATCGGACAGGCAAGGCAGAGAAAATCAGCACCGTGCTTAAAACAAGACCCACAGTCACATCTCAGAGCTCGGCTTCAGCTTCACCCATTAGTATAATTAGCATTGACAATTCCAACAGTTGTAAAAGCATGATGAGTGTGCCTGCGCGTGTGCGTGTGTGTGTGTGCGTGTGTGTGAGAGAGAGAGAGAGAGAGAGAGAGGAGAGAAAAATGGGGTAGATGGGACATCAAAGTCCACCGAAGAGAGACCACATGCATGAAGCTTATGGGAAATGCATGAAGTAATATGTGCTCGTGGCAGAGGTGAGTCTCAGATAAAGAGATCAGTCCCAAGATTTGGAGACCCTCTTGCAAATCAGATGGCATCTGATTAATGGAAGCTGCTCTGCAGAACTTTCAGGCAACAGTAACTTAAGGCTTAGGTAGGGCAGCTTGAAGCTGTTCTTAAAAATGGCCTGGTTGGGTTAGCCATGTCCTGTGTAGCCCTGCGACCCTCCCCATCAGCATCCCTCCTCACACATGCCTGCCACCATCAGCATCTCTCCTGGCCACCGCAAGGGACACTCACAGCTCCAGAATCAGAATGACATCGGTCTTGTTCTCGTAGACCTCGTGCAGGGTGATGACATTGGGGTGCTGGATCTCCTTCAGGATGCTGACCTCCCGCTCGATGTCCTCACGGCTCACACCCCGGCGGCTGGATTTGGTCCTCCTTTTCTTGATGAACTTGGCCGCATACTGGAGACCAGTGCTTTTCTCCCGGCATTTCTTCACAACTGCGAACTGCCCGCTGGCAAAGAAAGATGGAGCTGTGTTTAGGGTTGGCTGAAGACAGGGCCTGAGTGGGGACACAACGGGGAGACAATGGGGGAGACAACGGAATCCTGACTAGGAAAGCTCGAATGGTGGAGAATTAACAAAGGACGAGGGAACACTTCTTACTGTGCGTATTGTAGTTTTATTAAGCCTATTTCTTCATGAACAGTGTTGAACGGAATAAATATTTCCTTCCTTCCTCCCTTCCTTTCTAGTATATCTGATTGAACGGGTGGTCCTGCCCGCCTGCATGTCTACACTGTTTTCCTCTTTTCCTTCCATTTTGGATCCTGGGGCAGCAGGAAGAAACATGTATCTGACCTGTTTCAACAAATTCTTTTTTTTTATATGTCTAGTCACAGAACCAGGATCGAGACCAGGAAATTGGCAGAGAACACATAAGACTCCATCTTGTGAACACATTTCTAGTACCAGTATTAACCAAAACAGCCAGAGGCAAGGGAAAGTATATAAAGCTGTTCAGAGGCAGAGGATTCATGCATGGTAGAGCTCTGCTGGCTGTTTCTCCACCCTGTTCACCCAGGGATCTCTGTGGTTCCGGGCTGATGGCTGCACTTTCAAAGAAAGTCTGGGTCATGTGATCTAGACTAAGTCAATCAGAGCAGTGTATTCTCCTTGATCCAATGATGGACGTCTGACCTAGTAAAACCTGAAGAATAAGGGGACAAAGACTTTTTAAGACTCTTCTCATGAACACTGAACTATATCTATAGATGCCAAGGTGGCTGTCAGCTGTCTGGGAATCATGAGGAGCAGCTCGGGATTTAAAGACTGATCTGCACAGGCGGCACCAATGGAGGGCAAGAAACCAGCTCTGTGGGAACAGCAAAGAGCAGATGGGCTAGCTCAGCCTGAAGCTATATAACTAGATTTTCCAGTCATTTAGGCCAATAAATTCCCTTTTTACTAAAGGTAGTGTGAACTGGGTTGCCTGCCTCTTACAGAAAGCAGCACCCCAAATACCACAGAGCACATAACGGGAGCCGCCTGCCCATGTAGGACAGAGATTATAATAGAAGAAACAAGTGAGCAAGTGAGATCATGTGACATACGGAGGTCCCCCCGAGAGGCACTGAAAGACAAGAAGAAGAGCCTTCTGATCAGTGTCTGGCCCTCCCTTCCTCCTGACCAATGAAGGAAAGTCTGTCCACCCACAGGCCTGGACATTTCTTAGTGCCTGCTGAAGGACCTATCTTTGGCTGACTTTATTCTCTCACGTGAAAACAAAAAGGGGAAAGAAACCTAAATGAAGGATAATGTTTTGATGTTAAAAAGTGGCTATTTTACTGCACACACATTTACTTTCACAGCAGGAGGACTCTGAAGAAAACAGAGGATTGTTTCTCTAGTAATTTTTGATGACAGGTTATTAATACTCATTTCCCACCTCCTGCAGCAGAGAGAGGGAAGCTGGAGAACAAAATACATCCGAAAGCCAGCACCTGCTACTATGAACTTGCTCAGAGTAAGGGGAGCTGGCACAGAACTATCACAACCATTTTGTAGTTTTCTCGAGAGCCAAACACGCTCCTCCACATGGTGGGGTTGCAGAGAAGATCTGCAGCGACCTGAACAGGAAACACAAGTCCAGAGAAGACCAAAGAGCATCAGGCTGCTGCCAAGCACATTCCAGGGGGCCCAGAATGGACAGGCCCAGCAGGGACAACCAAAGACAAGTATCCTAGGCCCACAGAGGCTGGGTTGTGTGTGCCTCACACATGGAGGTAGCAGCTTGGCTCAAGGCCCATTGTTTGAATCATAAGCTTTCAAACAATAAGCAACGACATTATCAACAACAATGAAACCGAAACCAGAAGAGCCACAAAAAATTCAAATGGAAGGTGAGGTTCAGAGTATGGTTTCACTTCTCAGTGTTCCATGTGGAAAGTTTTCCCTTTAAAAGGTAAAGTGATAGTGCTCAGGCAGGGCTAATCCTAAAGGCAAGGCCAGGGCAGGGCAGAACTAGGATGTGTGTGCTCCAGGGAGAGCCCCAGAGCCCTAGGGCATGCGCATGCCCCCATGAACAGTGAGGCAGAATATTTGAGCCTCATTCCCTCAACTGACAACCGATTGGGATCCCCAGATGGCAGACCCCTTTAGAGTGGAGAAACTAAGGACTGGTAGGTGGTAAAAACCCCATCCATGGCTGATGCTGGATCCTGATTAACCCTGGCCAGGGGCCCTGGAAGACTCCGGTGAAACACCCATACCCTTCCTAACACCACCCCTCTGAAAATGCCTCTCCTGTTTTTTCTCTGACTCTCTTTCCAACCCTGACCCCATCTTCCCATCATTCCTCCTCCTAGGAGTCGAGGATACTGCATATCCCTTGTGTGGGACTTGCTATTTTCTGCCTGCTTCTTTTCCGCCTTCCCAGGACTGTGGATTTCCAGAGTACCCAGGTCTCCAGGCTCCCTATCTGTCTCCTCCCACCCCATCCTGAGTACATACTGCCTTACAGGACTGGTGCAACACTGATGTGCGGAGACTGGCATCCTGGGCACCACAATGTTAAACGCAGGATGGTCTGTTATAACTCAGTGGAACCATGTAGCATCTAAAAACGCAGACCACCCACAAGCTATGTAACCACAGACTTACTTCCAAAGTCACCAAGCAGCCAGAAAGATAGCACCTATTTTGAAGGGTTGTTCAAAGTAGAAGGATGTGATAATCAGCTTCCCATTGCTGTAACAAAATACCTGACATAACTTATAAAAAGAAAAGATTTCTTTTGTCTCATAGTTTTGAGGTTCCAGTCTATCGTCAACTGATCTCATCACTCTGGGGGCCTGCTGTGAGGCAGCACATCATGGTGAACCAGGCAGAACAAAACCTCTCACCTCCAAGCCAGAAAGAAAAGAGTGAGGCGGGGCCGAGCCTCATAATCACAATGGAGATGTGCACCCAATGACCTAAACACCTCTCACCTCTTGGGAGCTATGTGGGCCACTGGGTGTATTCGACAGCCAAACTGTAGCAAGGGGTAAATTCATTAAATGAAGTCCTAACAGAGATAAGGGGTTTAGAAACTGCCTCTGTAAAGGCTAATAGGACCAAAAGGGGGAAAAAGAAGTGCCCAGAACGGGCTGTACTGCTGAACGTGCCAGCTAGCTTCAACCTTCACATCATCCCATCCCCAAGCTGTCTCACTGACCTCACCCAAGGTGTACTGCTGCTACAGGGGCACACCCCTGGGCTGCAGCCTCAGGAGCTTGGGCAGCTTTGACCTGGGTCACTCCAGCACCTGGGTATCTCCACAGAGGTATATCTTCAGGCTGCCAGCACACTGGAAGTTAGATTCCTGGGAGAAGAAATAATCCTCTAATCATGGGCATTTGTTCAGGAGGCTAAGGCTGCGCTGCTGGCTAACTGCTGCTGTGATCTGCCTCTGGGGCAACAAGCTCCTGACCTTAGGCTTCCTGGTGCACACTTTCTATACCACCTTTGTACTACTTTGGGGGACAGCTCTTCCTCATCAAACCATCACCACCCCAAACAACAAATAAAAAATAATAATAATTTAAAAAAACAGCTTTTGTTTTAGCAAATGCTTCTAACTTGTGAGGAGCCAGCATAACAACATGATCACAGGCTAAGCTCAGACCAGGGAGGCAGGCAGCCTTTCAACTCTGATGGACTCTGAGGCTGCATTAAGGCCAATGTGGAGGGCTGGGCTGTAATATTATTTTTCTAGTTAGAGCTTTTGGAAAGGTAGCAATGTAACTTCCTTACCAGTAAACACAGTCTCTATATGCATCCACATTTAATTTTGATGAGACACAAAGATTATGTATAATAAATTCACCTATTTGCCTTTTTCCCTCCCTCCCTTCCTTTTCCCTGGCTGGTCTGGAACTCTATGTAAACCAGGCTGGCCTTGAACTCATGGAAAAAATAGCATGTGAGATAAGCATCATTCAAGCTATGGAGGCTGCTGGCCATGAGTACAATCTTGGTGAAGGAGTCATGTGTATTAAATAGGGTATCTTTAAATACAAACACACACACAAAAAGGTTATGCAGAAGGTTGGCAAAAATGCAGTTCACAGGCTCACAGGAACCGAACCCTTTACTTCCTCTAGGAGCAACAGCTCAGCGCCTGCCAGGAATTAACAGGCAAAACATCCCCAGCTAATGGAAATCAACTGTGTGAAATTTATTGCAAACACTCACATTCTCTCCCAACTAATAACTGGTAAAATAGTCTGCTGCACAGGGACAAACAGCCAAATGGATTTTAACACGGAAATTTCTATTAAGTGTAATGAACACTATTTAGTAGACAGACACAAAAGGTAATGAGATATATCTCTGCATTTGTTTTATATATTTAAAAAAAAAAAAAACTTGCCTCAAAATACAGTCACAATGGGCACAAGTGCTCACCAGCAGAGCACTTGCCTAGCATGTGCTAGGTACTGTGGGGGGTGGGGCGGGGGCGCAGGAGGGATGACACGGCCAGCCAGCCTAGCCAATGAACCCCAAGTTCAGTGAGACCCTGCCTCAAATAATGAAGATACCCACTGTCGACCTCTGGCCTACACATGCACCATGCACACATGAGCACATACATACACATACAAGCTACAAACACAATTTTTTAACCACAAGTTTTATTAAAAGGAAGACTTTAGTTAATAAGAGCAAAATTTCATAAAGAACAACCTGCCAGCAAGTTTCTTTGCCCTAATTATTAATATATTCAATCTGACTACCACCCTGATCGTCAGTGTGTAAGACTCCTTACACAGGTCCCCTTATTAACAGTCTGAGATGTACACCACTTGTCACCTCTTTCACAGGTGAGAAAAGCAACTCTCAGAAACACTTTTTAAAAATCTGCCTCAAAATCACACAGCAGCTAAGCTGTGTAATCACGACTTCAACCTGAGCTCCCAAAGCCTCATTCATCGAGCTCCATGCCTGGGCTAACCTGTGCTCTAGGCAGAT